AGTGATTCAGCCCGTCCATGACAGCAACACTATCATCAACAACAACAGTATCACCAACTGCTGCAGCCTCATCTTTAGAAGCAACTGCACCACCACCACCACCACCACTGGCCCAGACAAAATCATCAGTATCGCCATAGCTGCCAAAAGAGTAGCCGGTACAACCACTAAAACTGCTACCGGCGACACTTCCTGATAACAGTGTAGAACCACTAAGAGGCTGCTGTTGCTGTTGTTGTTGTTGTGGACGTTGTTGTTGTTGACGGCTGGAGTTAAACAATCCAAAAACTTGACTGCCAACCTGGACGAGTTCCTTATCATCCAGGATATCCAAACTGCTAACACCAAATGGGTTTTCAACTTCATCAAAATCCTGAATAAGCAGGTAATCATCTGTGGTTGGTTCATCTGAATGGATCAAATCCTGGTCAATTTTAGTCTTTCTGTCCGAGTCAATCGGGTTAATGTTGGATGATGTATTTTCAGTGTTGTTGTTGTTGTTGTCCATTTGAACATTTTCAGTCACAATTACTGTTGTTAGCGAACTGTTGCTGGCAATTTCGTCAGCGATCATGCTGTCTCCAAGATGTTTGCTCAACTGTGTGTGTGTGTGTGTGTGGTGTGTGTGTGTTGTGTACATGTGTGTGTGTGTACGTGTGTGTGTGTGCATACATGTGTGTGTGTTGTGTACATGTGTGTGTGTTATGGATGATGATAACAAAAATAAATAACGATGATGGGGACCAAGAAGATGATGATGAGAATGACGACGATGATGATGCGGTAAATGGAGGAGGAGGAGGAGGAGGAAAAAAACCAACCCCAGGTAAGAAATATTCAGAATCCTTTTCGTAGCAAATCTTCTTACTGGTCATGTTACCAATGTGACGGTCATTGGAAGGTCTGGAGTGGTGATGATGACGATGATGACAATGACGATGATGATGATGACGATGACGACGATGATTGTAACAATTATACAAAAGTGACACGAAACAATAATGATCAGGACTGTGACAGAGATAGGAGGGAACTAATTATAGATGCATGACCCTACAACAGCACAAACACTGATACGCCTGTACAGACAGCATATATATAAGACAACATACGAAGCAAGCGTAATGAAAAAAGAACACTACTACAATGACACACAAACAAACAGACACACACACACAAACAGACACACAAATACACACCTCTTGTTGATAATCTTCGATAAGATGCTAACATCAACACTACTCTCTCTCTTTTTCACTCCATCAAAACCCTTACCACCAAATCCTCCCCCTCCTCCTCCATCCTTACCCCACCTTTTCAAGATCTTTCTCTGTTTGGAGGGGGCGTCGAAGGAGGCTTGATGTGAGGTGATGAGGTCTTTGAAGGCGGGAAGGGATGAAAGGGAAAATAAGGGGTGCGGCTGGTACGCCCCCATGTGGCTTGGGTAGTCGCTGGTGCTGTGCACATACCCCTGTTGTTTGTTGTGGCGGTGGTTGGATGGAGGAATGAATGAACGACTAAATGAATGACTGAATGAATAAGTGAATGAATAAGTGAATGAATGAATAAATGAATGAATGAATGAAGGAGTGAATGATTGACTGACTGAACGAACGAACGAACGAATGAATGAATGAATGAATGAATGAATGAATGAATGAAAACACAAGCAGATACAACACTAACCACATCAATAGTCTTGAACTTCTCTGAGACGTTAAAATAATAAAAAAAAATAGTTAATGATAAAAAAGAAACATAATGAATGACGTTCGACCAACAACTACTAACTAACTAACCAAGCAACAACAACAACAACAACAAAAACAACAACAATAGCATCTACAACAACAACAACATCTACAACAACAACAACAACAGCCAGACAACAAAACTCCACAAACAACAACAACAACCATCAAGCCGAAACAATCATCAAACCGACTTTGAATCTCAGTACAGCCATTAGTAAGGAGGTTGTTCTCAACGTGGTTGAAGACGACCATGCAGTCGAGCAGGGCCTCCATCTGGTGCCCGGCATCTAGGAACATCAGGCAGAAGGAATTGTTTCGAAGGGAGTCGTATATGCGATCCAACACTCCTAAACATTGTTGTTGTTGTTGTAGTTGTTATTGTTACTAATGTTGGTGTGGTGTTGTTGTTGCTCATGTTGTTGCTAATGTTGGTGTGGTGGTGATACGTGTGTACACGCACGTACAAACACACACACACACACACACACCCAAACGCACGCACAAACACACACAACACACACCACCATGCAGAACCTCTGTTTATATCCGCCAGTTGAGCTTCAACTTCAGGTGTGCTTCCGTCCAAGGAAACCACCTGGATTGGTCATTATCATTTTCAAAACCATCTTCATCGTCAATCAATCAGTCAGTCAATCAATCAATCAATCAATCAATCAATCAATCAATCAATCAATCAATCAATCAATCAATCAATCAATCAATCAATCAATCAATCAACCAATCAGTGTAATTTATACACGCTAATTTATAGCAGACCAACTGCACATCCCAATGCCTTCCACAAGCCTCCAAAGAAATAATGCACAACATACAACACCTAAGCATGCGATAAGAGGGGGATCTTCTTGAATTTGAACCAGGTCATTGCAACTTAGGACAGGGTGCTCGTACCAGAGCCAAGACACAACCACAATCTCGCTCACAGCCATCAACAGTGGCAACGAACCTTCTTGATCTTCTCATTGATCCTCATCCTCAACTCCTTCACCACGTCTGGCACTTGAAAATTATCATCATCGTCCTCATCGTCATCATCATCGCCGCCACCACCGCCACCACTACCACCGCCGCCGCCACCAACATTATCATCGTTGTTACCAGAATTTTCGTCATTATTATTTTCAGAAAAACTTCCATTGTTGTTGTTGTTGTCGTTATATCCAGTGTAGGTAGGATTGTTGTTGTAACCATTATTAATGCGATGTTGTTGTTGTTGTTGCTGGTGGTGGGGGAAGTTGCCGGTGGCCGCATAGCCAGGCTGCTGTTGTTGTTGTTGTTGATGCTGTTGTTGTTGGTGGTGGTGTTGTTGGTGGTGGTGGTGGAAGGGCTCAACGTGGTGGTTGGCCATTTGATAAGCCATAGACATGTCCTCTAGATCAGCTGGTGGTACTGTGGGTGGTAATGAACACATGGCGTGACGTAACGTGACGTCAATCAATCAATCATTCCTTCAATCAATCAATTATATGTATATTGTTGATGCATTTCATGCAGTGCATGATGCATTTATATACGTATGGATGGATACATACATACATGGCGTGACGTAACGTGACGTCAATCAATCAATCATTTCTTCAATCAATCAATTATATGTATATTGTTGATGCATTTCATGCAGTGCATGATGCATTTATATACGTATGGATGGATACATACATACATACATACATGCATGCATGTATGTATGTATGTATCTATCTATCGACCCCGGTTTTAGGTCCGGATTTGAGCGTCAATCAACATTTAAAAAAGTTATAAACAAAAAAAAAAATTTATTGAATTCACTTAATTTTAAGTGAATTCAAGTTAAAGTCTAAGCACACATGACACATAACAACAACATCACTAATTGTGAGTTGAGCTGGGGACAATTTTATTAATGCTATAACATGGGCTACGCATAAATTACAAGCCGATCCTTGTGTAAAACAACTTGTGCATATTTCTTTGTGCCATAAGTTTTATGCATAAATTATTGACTAAGTACTATTAAGAAATTTCATGTGTGAGTTTCATGTTTATTAGCTCTGAGCATATTATTATAAAGATGTTATCATGTGTTTAATTATTTCAAACAAAATGAAACGATGTGCACTTCTTATAGTACACACATATATAAATGTAACTAGAACGTATATGGCGGTGTATCGCACTGCTCCTTCATACATTTGAATTAATTAATTAACCATTTGCTTGGTGTTATTTTCTGATCTTCAACATGTATATAACCGCTAATGGATGGGAGTAAAATGCTTGTAAAATGGTAATTAAAATTTTGTGTACACACAAATGAAACGCATACAACAGACTATATGCACGTATGTATGACATAAGAAAATAGTTATAAAATGTGTATAGCTTGAATGGGTGAAAGTGTGGATGAATGAATGAATGTATAAATGAACGAACGAACGAACGAACGAATGAAAAATGAATGAAACAATAGTTGTTGATATGGTGAAAAAAAAGATAAACTAATACATAAAATAAATGGACAGTTGAAGAAACAAAATAGTTGAATGAATGAATGAATGAATGAATGAATGAATGAATGAATGAATGAATGATCAAACAAATAAACAAACAGAGAATGAACCAATGAAAACCAGGCAATTAAATTTATGAATGTAGACCAGACACACACATCTGTTGCTGTCAGTGGGTCTAAATGAGATTCATGCATCCATGTATGTACTGCATGCATGCATGCCTAAAAATAAAGATGACATTTAAAAAAAAAACCAGTAAAAATATAATAATAATAATAAAAAAAAAGAGGAAGAATAACAATAATAAAGAATACAAATAACCAAACAATTTATTGTAATATAACAACAAGTTTGGTTGGCATTGTTTTAATTTATCATGTTTCAAATTATACAAAAATAAAGCCTTCCTTCATTTTCCTCTTCTTCTTCTTCATCATCTTCTTCATCTTCTTCATCACCACCGTCATCATCATCACCACCGCCATCATCATCATCATCATCATCACGCACATTATAATCATCATAAGGTGCATTTTCATCATCAACATCATCATGATTATCATAACCTTCATCTCCTTCTTCATCATCATTACCATCATCATTCTGTTTGTATAACTGTCTTTTATTATCTACAATCCAAATGCCAGACAACCAACCAACCAACCGACAGACCAACCAACCGACCAACCAATCAACCAACCGACCAACCAACAAAACCAATCAACCGACCAATCAACTAGCCTGCCAGCAGAACTATCATTCAACCAAAACCAACCGACCTTTGGCAGTCCTAGAAGGGACAATGGTGATTTTTGAGTCCTTGTCATCAGTTTGCACGACGTGTCCACTGAATTCGCAATCTGGAGAACGATTTGACTCCGCGATCTTCGGGGAAAATCCAAACTTGTTTCCCCCCTGGTGATGATGATCTTGAGAGGTGAGGACGTCACTTTTGACGTCACCATCGTCGTTGCTGGGACGTATGTTGAAGAGCTGCTGCTGCTGTTGTTGGTGTTGTTTTTGCAGGCTTTGAAGATGTTGAAGCTGCTGTTGCTGTTGTTGCTGATGTTGTTGCTGGTTGACAAAACATTGTTGTTGTTGTTGTGACGACATGAACTGTGAGGTTTGTGGCGAAAAGTTGGAGGAGCCAGAGGTGAAAGGAAAATTTGTTTTCTTCTGTTAATAATCATTTTTTAAATTTGTTACAAATAAACAAAAACACACATACAAACACACACACACACACACACACACACACACACACACACACACACACACATACAAGCATACACACAGATACAAACATACACACAGATACACACACACACGTACAAACACACACAACATACACAAACACATACAAGCATACACACAAATACAAACATACACACACACACACACACACACACACGTACAAACACACACACACACACAGATACAAACACAGACACACACCAACCTTCTCTATGTAGCACTTCTTCAGGTAGACATACATCTCCTTGAGATCTTGCTTACCTGGTTTCTTAGAAGGAGCTGCAATCATTCATTGGTTGGTTGGTTGGTTGGTTGGTGTCAATCATCATAATTTATGTTAATTTATGCAAATACATTATAATAATTAATTATAGCCAACCATTTAATCCGGTGGTACCATCCTTGCCGGGATTGTTGGGATCCTTGAATGGGACTGAATTAGGCCAGTCCGTCGGCTTCTGATCCCAAAGATGCTTTACTGGTGATGGCGATGATGAAGATGACGTCAGTGGTGGTAAAGATGAGGATGAAGATGATGTCTGTGATGATGATGAAGATGTTGATGACGATGATAATAATGACGACGACGACGATGAAGAAGATGATGACAATATGATGATGATGATGATAATGCTGACATTGTTGACAGTAATGGTAGTGATGGTGTCTGTGTCGAAGATGATACTGATGATGATGACGACGACTCTGCTGATAATAATGTTTGTATTAATGGGGTAAATGATGAAGATGATGAGGACGAAGATGATGAGAATGACGACAAAGGATAATAAAAAACAGCGATGGTGAAATAATTTTGAAGTCGAGACAGCCACTACCAAAGCCACCACCAACTTACATTTTTTCTTCCCGGATATTTCCTGTTCCGAGTAGTAACACTCGATCCTCAACTTTGGGATCAGTTTCCTCATCGCTTTCACCGAAATCGTTGTAGGATCTTTGTTTATGTAGGATTCTATCTTTACGTCATCTTCGTCTGCAGATGACGACGACGACGATGATCAGAATGGCGATGGTGATAATGATGGCAATGGTGATTATGATGATGATGACAACAATGGTGATGATAATGATGATAACAACAATGGCGATGATGATGATAACGATGGCAATGATGATGATGAAAAATGCATACAAACCATCATCTTTTTTGGCCCTCTTGCTTGCATTGGCTTGAGGCTTGGGCGCCAGGTAATCAGCTGATTGGTTGAACGGTTGAATGAATGAATGACTGAATGACTGAATGAATGAATAGGCATGAATTAATAAATGAATTAATGATGGCGGATTAATTAAACAAATGAACAGTAGTTAGTCGACTAAACGTGGACTTATCGATTAATCAATTGATTGACTTATCAATTAACTTGTTGATTAAATGAATGATTGAATGATTAATTGATTGAATGATTAATTGATTGATTGAACAATAAGAATGGCATACTGACTGAGAGATTAATGAGCGATCAGATCAACATCCAGACATTATGTCAAAAGGCAACAACGAATCAACAACAACGACAACGACATCAACACGTTAGCAAGTATAGAAAAACAATACAAATGACAACAACATCATCAGCAATGATATTAACATAATGTCATCAACAACAACAACTAACCAGCTTGAGAGTAGTCATCCTGAAAACATTAATATGAAAATCTCAACTAAGAATAAGATAGAAATTAAATTAAAACAGACAGAGGCAAGCAAGCAAACAAACACACACACACTAATAAAATACAACAGTTCAATTAAAACAGACAGAGGCAAATAATCACACAAATAAACAAACAAACACACACTCCTTTAAATGATTAAAATATAACAACACAACACACAGATAGATAGATATCCATAATGTAATTAATGATTAATACATTTTAAAACTTAAATTTTAAAACAGACAGAGACAAACAAACACACACTCCTTTAAATTTTAAAACTAAGAAGATTAGTTAACAATCAAATTTGAAATAATTAATGATAAGTTATTTATTTTATAATATATTTCTGTAATACCAACAACTAATAAAGATGATTTTATATAGTTTTTACTTTTTTAGCAATAAATAAGACAAAAAAAAACTGAAAATGGAAAAAATTGAAATAGAAATATAAACAAACCATTCCCTCATCATCTTCTTCTTCATCATCCTCTTCTTTTTTTATCTGAGTATCCATCATCTTAAACTTCCCCTAAGAAAGATTAAGTTCAAAAAATATATTTAATTTAGTAGTTTTTCAATTTAGATTAATTTAATATTTTAAATAAATCATTATAATATAGCTGATTCATATTATAACATATTCAATTAGTTATTTCACTAAACTAACAAGCAATTAAATAGCAAAATATAATGAAAAGATTATTATTATTATATCATAATAAATTTTTCATAAATATTTTACATAAAAATTTATTTACATAACTGACAGAAAAAAAAATAGAAATTGTGGCCCAACCAACTAACTACTAACTTAACAAAACAATATTCTTAATGAATGAGAATGGTACAGAAAATAAGAAGAAAGAGCAGACGACATTTTTTTCTTTGATTAGTATTAGTAGCTGGTTAACCTCCGCACTACTAGAGAACAAGAGAAAACATCCCATTCTGACCGTTTTAGCCATTTTCAATTTTAAAAAATTAAATTAAATTCGAAAAGGTAATAATATTCATGACGTAATTAAAAAAATGTTTTCAAAGTACGAACGACATGACACATAACAAAATCCTTAATTAACCACCATCATTTGAAAGTATATAAACTTGATGGATTGAAATAAAAATGGAAGAAATGTGACAAAATGATTTTTTAAATATAAAATACTTAAAAATCTACATAAATGAAACGGATTTCATTGTGATTTAAATTATAAATTGTTGGATAATTTTTTAGAAATAAAAAACTGCGCACTTTTAATGCCAGACCACTTTTTTGGATTGTCAATAAAACGGTCTTTTATAAAAATTTAAATAAATTTTATTAAAAAAAAATTTAAAATTGGCAGCTTTTATTAAAAATTAATATAAATTTATTTGACAAAATATTATTTAAAATGAACTCTAACTCGACTGCCATATTATGATAATATAAATTTTCATCGCTTCCGTGTGCATTATCAAACGCTTCTTTAATTAATTTTTTTATTAAATAAAAAATATATTTAAAAAAAATTAAAAAAAATTCTTTTTTAACAAATTACAATTTATAATTGAAGAATTTAAAATTTAAAATTATAAAAATAGACCATAGTGTGAGGTCTTCGTGGCTAAAGTGGTTGAACTCCATAGGTTAAAGATAAGGATGCTCTCAGATGGCAGCCCCTGAGGGCTTCATTTGGGTTTTTCTGGGAAGTGGCTGTACATTTGAAAGATTTACTAAATAAAACTATTTAAAAAAAGAGTAAGAATTCGATTTGTGATCAACAAGCGATTTATATATAATATAACGATTACATAAAGCCATGGTCACATTTTGCTGAATGTATCATGAATTGACAAAAGAATTGTAATGGTTCCCGTCACAATCGACCACTATATTTTCCGTATTTTTTTAATTCATGATTTTTTAAAAGTTAAAAAAGCTCGTTTAAACAAATATTTGTCCTAAAAAATTATACTTAAATTTTATAAGACCTATATTTTAACTTTAAAGCCGAGTATACCATAAACATTTATTCAATGTAAATGAAGTACATGCTTTAAAGGTGTCAAAATTTCATTCAAATGATAAAAAAAAGTAGTTAATTAAGCAATTATATACGATTTATCTGTACTATAATTTAGTTATTCATTATTATAAAACAAAGTAATCAAATGAAATTGTCATTTTGAAGTTAAAATCGACAAAAAATCATCCAAATCATACAACTATGAATACCGATGTAGTTTAACATCATCAACTAAATCCACATTTAAACGATTGACAAGCTTTTAAAAGCGGCAAATACATTTTTTAATTATTAAAATTCAAAATACGTAAATATTATTAATTAAAACCTCAAAAATTTTTAAATTTATTTTCAAGATAATAAATAAATAATTGCGATTTTTTAAATTTTTGTATCCGTCTTACTTTCGGACTAGCCAAGCTGACGAGAAAGATGTCTCAACAGATGAGAATCACGGAATTTTATCTGCAGAAGAAAAGACCAACTAGGAGTAGCACTAACAAGGGCAAGAAACAGTCAGACGTCCCCACCGTCCGGATTAGTGATGTGTTGGCTACAACGGACACTGTCACGACAGAGGATGTGCATTCTGCGGTACGGCGAAGTTCTAGAATAAATAGCAGAGGTTTTGTTTGTTTGAAATTAAAAGTTTCAATTTATTAAATAAATTGAAGCCTTATTAAGCTAAATTAAGCTTATCATAACATAGCAACAGCATATTTGCATGCCTTATAGCTCTACTAATATTCTTGTATAAAAAATTTTTGTTTGTATTATTTATTATATTATTTTTTATATTTTTCAATTTATGGTTTAATAAAGTTTTTTTCACCAAAAGGCAAAAGGCCAATAGAAGCCAGTACAGTTGTCAAACACCCAACCCCAACCAAGTGTCCTTCACCTTACAAGTATGATGCCCATCTTATTAATATTTATCATTATAGAAATAAATTTTATGTATAGCACTACACACACACACACACTTTCTCTCTCTCTCTCTCTCCCTCTCTCTCTCTCACTTACACAAACACATATATTCACATTTGATTCAAACTTTACATACTATACTAACACACACACACACATACATACACATTGTAACACCATCTACCTGTCAATCACACATAAATTAACTCCACCCACAACTTAACTCTTCAACCATTACAAGAGGAACAATACAGCTGGTAAGTGATGATGAAGATGATGATGGAAAAGTTACCATTACTACTACCATCACTACTACTACTACTACTTCTACTAATGTTCAACTAAGTGATGTTGCTAAAAATCTATGGCCTACAAGGTTTGTAATTAGTGTTTTTTATATTAAGAAGCATTGTTTATCATTGAATTTTTATTGATCGACCAATCAGATCAATGTATTTTTATTGACCAACCAATTAAATCAATGCATTTCTATTGACCAACCAATCAGATCAATGCATTGCTATTGACCAACCAATCAGATCAATGCATTTCTATTGACCAACCAATCAGATCAATGCATTGCTATTGACCTACCAATCAGATCAATGCATTTCTATTGACCAACCAATCAGATCAATGCATTTTTATTGACCAACCAATTAGATCATTGCATGAGGTGGTCAGGTTACGAACTCCAACCAAGGATCAGTCGTTATTGTCACCTAACAAGTATGTGTGTGTTTGTGTGTGTGTGTGTGTCAACTTTCATTTTTATTCTTTCATCTTCATCTATGCTCATTTCTTCATTCATTCAGTATGTTTTTACTTATTCTGTTATGTACATTCATTTAATCTTCATAATCTTATACTTATCTTATATTATTTAATCTTATACGCGCACATACACACATACGCACGCACACATACACACAATTGTTTAATTATTCAATCTATTTTATGTGAATGTAGGTTAGATCTTCTTGGTTCAAAGACAGGCAGCAATGACAACAAAATTGATGATGTCGAAGTCGAAGATGATTTTGTTGACTTTGGGACCCCTATTAAAAACAAAACTCCATCCAGGTATAAATACACATACACACACTCTAATACACATACAGGAACACGTATAAACGTGCATACAACACATACATAAACACATACATAAACACATACATACATATATGCACACACATACATACATACATATATATATTATATACATACACACACATATACATACATACATAGACACACACATATACATACATATATACACACACAAACACAGACCAATAAAGGAATTGTTAAGATCCAGTAGATTTCTAACTCCAGTGAAAGATGCTTCACCTCACAAGTTTGTCCATTCATTCATTCATTCATTCATTCATTCATTCATTCATTCGTTTGTTTTGTCCATTCATACAGTTAATTGTGTTCAATCATTTTTCCTCTTTGAAATTCATTTCATAACTCAATCACTCTTTTATCCATTCACTTCTTCATTCATTCATTCATTCACTTAATTAACTAATTCGTTCATTCACTCATTATGACTTCAAATGATTGTAACTTAGGTCAGTTCTGGAATTCATCAAACTGCACACACCAGTCAAAGATCCATCATCGCCTCTTAAGTCTGTTTCTTTCTTTCTTTTATTCATTCATTATTCATTCATTCATTCATTTGATCATGCATTCATTCTTTCATTTAATATTTCATTCATCCAGTTATAATGCATTTGTTTAATCAACTTTTTCACTCCTTCAGTTTTTCGTTTACGTTCCTTTCTCAATCCCACCCCAACAAACCAACCAACCAATCAGGACTCCGATCCGAACAACCCCGCAAACAGCAGCACCAATCACATCACTGGCCAGGCGATCAAAGTCATCAGTGGCGTCCACCTCATCTCGTCTGAACCTCCCACGCTCCTACACTGCCCTCCACCAGACATTCTGTGCCATGGACCAGATCGTCAGCATGCTGACCAATCGGTCTGAGATTTGCACCTTCGATAAGTTGAGGCCGGCAGTCGAGAAGATGACTAATTGGTTGGTTGGCTGGCTGGTTGGTTGGTTAGTTGGTTGTTTGGTTGGTTGGTTGGTTGGCTGGTGGTGGTTTTGCATAATGTATTCGCCCTATATATTCGCCTAGTTTGTATAATTTAATTGCTGTTTTGCCTAATTGGTTTTTACTAATTAGCGTCATTTAATTAGTGATTTTGGCGGCGTAATTGTCACAATTAACTAACCTTAATGATGGTGGGGTCGTTTGAATGACGTTATTTATTTATCTAAATGATGGATGGGTGGATTGATAGGTGGGTTGATGGGTATATAGGTGGATGAATTAATTGAATTTTTGATCGTCAAGAGAGCGAAAGATTGACTCATTAAATGAATAAATGGATAAGTGAATGAATGAATGAATAAGTGAATGGATAAATGAATGAATGAATGAATGGATAAGTGAATGAATGAATGAAAACAAACCCACCCACCCACTCAGCAAGTTCGACGAGAAGCACATTGGCCGCATCTTAACGGTGGACAGCTCCCTTTACAAATTGCAACAGGAGAACAACCTGCCATCCTTTGGCGAGGGCAGGTCCGCCAAGTATCAGCTGACCATTGAGGCCAATCTCACCAATGAATGTTCGTTCGTTCGTTCAGTCTTTTTCATTCATTCATTTCATTTTTTTCGTTTATTGATTCAGTCATTCATTAATTGTTATTTTATTCATTAGTTCTTTCAGCAATTCTTTGTTCTTTATTCTTTACAAACACACACACACACACACACGACAACAAACAAACACACACACATACATGCACATATAAAGAAGCATGCATACAGTCATACAAACACACGTACACAAACACGCACACATACATACAAACACTCACAAAAACATGTGATTTTTTAATTACAGATTCATCGTCTCCTCATTCTCCATCCAAGACTGCCAGCACAAATAATAATAACAACAGTAATAATAATAATAATAATAATAATAATGATAATGATAATAATAACAGTCAGCCACATAAGTTCACGGCTCTGCATTTGACGGATCGTAAAATGACTTTCTACAACAAACTTGTGGACATAGTCAGAAAGATGCACAGAGTGAGTTTGTTGATTGATTGATTAGTCGATTGATTGATTGATTGGTCGGTTGGTTGA